GCCCCCCCCCCCCACAGCTCACAGTCACCTCTGCTGCCGATGTGTTAATAACTTATATGGGTCAAGTTTTCTGAGAGAAGATTCCAGTAGCCAGCACTCAGAAAAAGGGAAGGTGATTTTTTTTCTTTCCAGATGGATCCATAGGTGAAAGTTTTCCACACAGGGTCTAAAATGAATGACATGTGTCAAACACACAGTCCTTCAGAGAGGTCTCTCACCCCAGCTCCTCAGTGGGACTGCCTGCCAGCTGAACAAGAGGGGTGTCACGTGACCTTCTGCTAGCAAGCCAGGAGGTCAGTCTGAAGAAATACTTAAAAAAAAAAACAAAAAAAGAAAGAAGTCAAACCAAGAAAGTTATTACTGAGCAGCTCTTGGGACCCTGGGACACTTCATTTGGGAGAAGTGAAGAGTAGTGAGATTCTGACCTCAGTCTTATTCTGTGAATGCAGGAGAGAGTCGTCAATAAAATAATAACCACAGTTAACATTTAAATGTAAAAAAATACACATCAGGCCACAGGCCCTCCTGGTTGTTGAGAGGAATGATTCATTCCAAGGCAGAATGGAAACCCCAAACCCAGAATCCAGACTTCCCAAGGCCCCCCTGTCCTTAGGATGCTGCTGTTCTTGCTGTGTGGTCGTACCGAGCTGGTTTACTTTCAGGAAAGCGTGGCGACTTTTCAGTTTGAACAGAAGAAACAGCTTCACAAAACAACCTCCTCTAAAATGTTTTGAGGAGAAGGGGACTCTGAGGTTTCACTGAGGTATGATAATGAAATGCATGATCCCCAATTTATCGGTAATTTATTATTAACAAAGTCACAGTTCATCAAATTTTTTGAATTTAAGTGTTTACATCTCCCTTAAAAGACTTTTGTACAATCTTTTAGAATTACACATACACAAGAAAGATCTGCTATTCAACTAAAAGGGAATCCTACACTTGAAAACTCAGACGGAAACTGATAGTACATTTTCTTCTGAATGCATGAACTAGAAAGTAGTTTTCTTACAAGTATGCCCAAATTAAACTTACTTGTGTTTTTCTTTCTTATTTATTTACTCTAGAGCAGGGTCTCACTATGTTGCCCAGGGTGGTCTTGAACTTCTTGACTCAGGCAATCCTCCCGCCTCAGCCTCCTTAAGTGCTGGGACTACAGGCATAAAAGTCATAGCACTCCACCCTACTTGTGTCTTTAGAAGTCTCTTTTTGAAGGGGCAAGCCATTAACTCTTCTAAAAACCAAGATCTGAATTTCTAAGATAAATCTTCCACATACTTCCTAAAGGAAGACAGACTAGTCTTCTAAAAGCCAAATATCTAAATTTCCAAAATCTCTACCAGTCCAAGTTCTTCGATGGCCCTGAACTGGCTGGCATGGGTGTGCTGTCGCCCTCTTTAGCTTCCATTACTGCTCTTTTACAATCTGAAAGGCTATCAGTGACTGAAGTCAGATGCCTGAGTTCCATTAGGGTCTCTTATGACTGGGAGAGTTGAGAAGCGTTGGCCTCATGACACTCTTGACAGTTCTCTTTTGCAACTACCCTTGAGCTGCAGCGAGCTCACCATGGGAGACCCTTGTAATTCCTTCAGCACGGCAGAGGGGTCAAACAGGGCTCAAGTTTTCTGGCTCTGAAGTCCCTTTCTTTTTATACCATTGAAAGCGTGTAAGCAGCTCGCCGAGATGGAAACAAAACAAAGCAGAAGGGAACAAGGAACTGGGCACAGAACAGAGTCCGTAAACCAGGGGGTGCTGGGATGTAAACCTGTTGGCAGAAGACCCCGGTGTTCCTCTTACTTCTTGAGGGGAAGTGTTTTAGGGCAAGCTTGTCTGTTGTCTGCTGCTCTGCCTCCAGTTCAGAGCACTTCCCATTTTTTACCATCTAGAGAGAATAAGGAAGAACTACCATGATTCAAGCCACTTGAGAAATAAGACCAGCTTTGTGACCCTGGGCAAACGACTTAACCTCTCTGGGTGACGTACTTGCCCATCTGTCAGCATACCTAATTGCATGCTTCATATTTCAGCTCACTGCAGATTTCAAAGCACTTTCACATACTTTTTCCGTGCATCTGTTCCTTGCAATAACCCTGCAAAGTAACAGGGGCTGATTACTACTCTCATTTTCAGACCTAATGACACACCTATGAAGGCAGCAAGAAAGTGGTGGAAGTGGGAGGGAGCCGTCAATTTCTGATTCCGGTCAAATGCTGTTCTTGCCACATTATACTGCCTGGTCTTTCGGCTTCCAACAACATTCAAATGCCACTATTAAAAATTAAAAAAAAAAAATCTCTGTCACCATTCACAACCCATGTCACTCTGTGTTTGAAATCTGACATCATTTGTAGTTTGGGGACCAAGGAGAAGCACATGAGTAAGTGCTTCCACTTTAAAAACACATGTGCATGTTTATTGCAGTATTGTTCACAACAGCAAGACATGGAACCAACGATGCTGCCCATCGAAAGAGGACTGGCTAAAAAAAAAAAAAGTGGTACATATACACAATGGAATATTACACAGCCATAAAGAAGGACAAAATTATGAACTTTACAGCAACCTGGACAGACTTAGAGTCTAAAATACTGAGCAATCTATCACAGAAACAACTAACTGAGTATCACATGTTCTCACTCATAAGCAGACCTTGAATAATTATTGAAATACTATAAGAAAAGCATTGGCAGTAGTGGGGCATTGCTGGGGGGCAGGGGTAGTGGGATTGGCATAGTGGGAAACTGCGGCAGGGAGGGGATGGGATTGGCAGTAGTGGGAATCTCCCAGGGGGTGAGGGTGGGGATGCAAGATTGGCAGTAGTGGGAATCTGCTGGGGGAGGGGGCACACCTCATCAACAAGGGTACCTGCATAATGAACATTTGTATAGGTAACCCTGAATTGTACCCCACATCTTTAAAATAAAAAAATTAAAAGTAAAAAAACCAAAAAACACTCAAGCTTGGTTCGTCTGTTTTTTTAACTGCTTAGCTCTTGAGAACTACCGAATAAAGATGCTTAGTGCGAAAGTGAAGACTGACCTAGCAGATCTTGCTCCTGATATCAACGCTCATAAACTAGAGTCCAGAACACACACTCTATGGCTAAGCATGAGGTCCCTGCAAATTGTCACTTTACTGAAGACTGGCAAAGGCAGCATTGGGCTAGGGAGTCTCCCTAAGAAAGTTCTCTGGCTGGGCTCCTCAGCCCTGAAGCATCACCCGTTCCTCCTCCCTCTCTTTCTCTTCTCTTCTCATCCACCCATCAACTAGGGGGACCGGTGTCATGGGCGAGCAGGGACAACTGAATACACAAGGGAATGAGCTCTCTGAATGTGGGTGTGTTCTTTGCACCAGCAGCCAAATTCCTGAGCTGTCAGCTGACTGTGGGGAGGGCAGCTGAGGGCCCTACTGTGCCTGCAGGTGAAACTGAGGTAGACTGGCTGGCGGCCCGTGTGACGAGCACCACGGCCACATGGATCTCGGTACAGAGTAAAGCGTGACGTCAGAACCCAGGTGCCACCCACTCCCATCTTGTCGTGTTTATGCCATAGCGCTGGGCACTGACCTGCTTTGCCCACTTCCCCTTCCTCAGTGATCCTTCAGCCCGGCACCCAGCTCTGAGATGAGGCCTGCTTAGCACCAGTGAAGTTCCCCACGTTCAAACCAACAACATTCTGTGTGGAGATGAGGGAATCAAAGTTAAAATCCAACCCGTCTGCATCCATGAGTTCACTACGGATAATGGACTCCATGTCACATTCCAAGCTCCCGTTGAACATGTCTAGGTCCAAGTCGCTGGGGAACTTCTCGTGGCCCATGACGGGCAGGTTTGCACTAGTTGAGTACAAGGAGGAGCCTGAGAGAGAGTCCGAGAGGGTTTGCATAGACTGGCTGACGGGAGACTGCTGCTGGTGTTTGGCTGACCCGAGGCTGCTGGAGTCACTCAAGCCCATGTTGCTGACGGAATTCGACAAGGCACGGCTGCCACCGAGAGCGCCCTGGGTTTGGTGCTGGTGGTGGAGCAAGTTCTGATTGACCAAACTCCCCTGGTTAGGCTGGGCGGCAAAGGACATCATTGGGTCACTGCGAAGCATCACGTTCCGGCGGGAGTTCTGGGCAGACACGGCGGTGCTGGCCTGAGACATCAAGGGGTCCGACTGGGTCATCATGACATCGCTGTGGCTGAGTGAGTCTGAAGTGAGCAGGTCCTGGAGTGTCTGGTTGCCATAGTGAGACATGGAAGAGAAGGTGGCTGGCTTGTTCTCTTGGATGGTCTGCATGGGAGACTGGCGCAGGGAGCTCAGGGGCGAGGGCCCGAACACCGTGCTGTTGAAGGAGCCGGTGGGCGAGCCCAGGCCGGAGCCCTTGGCGGTGTACGGGAAGCTGGAGCTCCGCTGCATGAGCCCCCCGGTGGGCGACGGCTGGGCTGGCGGGAGCGTGATGTTGTCCAGCAGGTCATCCATGAGGTTGTCAGCCAGCCCGTCGTTCAGATTCATGGTGCCCGCCATGTCGGTCAGCCGTGGCAGCTCCACGTTGCACGGCTTGCTGACAGAGGGCGACAGGCTGGCGGAGCTGCTGTAGAGCATGGGCGACAGCGGCGCGTCGTCGTCCTGGACGTCGTCCAGCTCTGTGCTTGCCAGGATGGGCGACAGGCGGCCACTCACCGTGCTGGCGTTGGAATTGGTGCGCGAGCGGAAGTCCGTCCAGGCGTCCAGTTCGTCGCTGCTGCGGGATGTGGGGCTGCCGGGCCACTTGGAGAGCTGGGAGGGGCTGTCGTCGGCAGACTCCGGGGCGGTCTGCAGGGCTGCCTTCTTCTTGGCTGCCCGGCCCCGGCTCTTGGTATACTTGTTGCTGTTGTCCATGGAGACGGCCCGCCGCCGGGGGGCCTTCCCGCTCTTCCCCCCGTCGGGGTTGATGATCCACCAGGAGCTCTTGCCCGTCCCCTCGTTCTGGACCCGCATGAAGCGGCTGTGCAGTGACAGGTTGTGCCGAATGGAGTTCTGCAGAGAGAGGAGAAAACATGGGCTGTGAACCAGAGGTCCCAAACCGAGCACCCGAAGACAGTTCAGCAGACTCCTCCGTTTCAAAGACAAAAACAAAACAAAACACAAAACCTCACTCAAAAAGACAGACATCCGCATGACCCTCCTCTACTTGGTATAAAACAACTGTGCATCCAGGAGGTGGGGAGATGGTTTCCTGCCCAGGAGAGGCTGGCAATGTGTGAGCTCACTGACAGTGGGTTTTCCTGAATACCTAAGTTTCACTGTCCTGCCTATAATTATATTGCCTACATGCATTCTGCTGTCATACCACTCCCACCCCTGCACTTTGCCACAAACCTCTCTGGCTCTCTGGGGTAATTAATCACCTGGGGAGCTGTTTTCTGATGGTCCCTTCCTCCACTGGAGGCAGGCTCTACCTCTTCTTGGCCACTTGAGAACTGGTGAGCATTCCTATCCGTCCTTTTCATGACCACTCACCCTGCCCCAACTCCACAGTTTACTGTCTAACTTCCGGCAGACATAAGAAAAGAATGCGAGAGTAGGGTTTGCAGGGGTGACAGAAGGAGGCAAGTCTCCCATTCAAAAGAATTCAGATAATCTATATAGATATGCCACCCCCTCAAGGCAGTGTGGACTGAGCATAGTAGCTTCTAAAGAGTACAGTATGAAAGGGGTGGTGGGAGGGTAACTTTATAGTGGAGAAACTGACAAATACTGCCTTGGCCAGGTGATCAAGGGACAGGACAAGCTGACAGTATGTACCCTTGATATGATGTGATGTGATGAGAACAGCACCTCCTTCTATGGTCTTCCGGCCGAAACCCATAACCCCCGCCTCATCATGAGAAAACTTTCACCAGATAAATGCCAATTAAGGGACATTTACAAAATGCCTATTCTGCACTTCTCAAAACCGTCACAGTCAAGAAAAGCCTAAGGAGAGGAGACATGATGGCTAAAGGTAATATGGTATTCTCTCTGGGACACTGAGCAAACATGAGGACAATCTGAATAAAGTATGAACATTCATCAATAATAATGTATCCTTACTGGATCACCACGTGTGACAAATGCACCATACAAAAAGATGTTAACATCAGGGGAAACCTGATGCTGGGCATATAGAAACTCGGTACTATCTTTATAACTTTCCCATAAAAATAAGAATATTCACAAATAAAGTCTATTTTATATTTTAAAAATAGGACAAAATACCCTCAAAACTCTAACGACTACACCCATCCTGCAAGAATCATGCTCCTTGCTTGGTAGATAGGCCCAGTTGACAGGGATAACCCAGATTCAGGTCCTGTCTCTGCCATTGACCAGCCATGTGACTCGGAACAAATCTAATCTGCCAGCAACAACTGCAGCTCCCCACCTTCATTATGGCCATAATCATGCCCAAACCACCCCTCTCTGACGGGAATGACGTAAGAATTATGTATGATAATATACTCTGGAAGCCAGTCCCTCTATGAAGTTCGGGTGTTCTCACTGCTGATACAAAGCAGTGCTGTTCATGGGGGAGAGAGCTCAGGGCCTGGGGCAGGCTCGCTCTGATCTGTGGAACGCCTACTGTGTAGTAAGAGGAGCCAGTAATTGTGCATTCTCCACATCTGGAACAGCACCTGCAGGCCAGATGAGTTTGTATTCACAAGTTAATGAGAAAAGATATTGCCTGATGCTGTGTATTAAATATGAACAATCCTAAAAGCTACCACTTCAAAAAAATTGGCAATCACCAACTGTATTTATGTAGGAGATACAAATACATGTGTTCTACCAGAATGTTTTTAAAACACAGAAAATTAGCAGGATTTTAGCATAAGTCAATAACCCAAAACACCCAGAGTGTTTCCCGTGTTTGCTCCTGTGCAGGAAGGGCCAGGTCTTCAGGCTGTGCAGCGAGCACTGGCAACCACGGGTCCTAAGTTGGCCTTTCTACAACTGTTGTAAAGATGCATCTGGGAGAAGAAAATAAGCAGCATGCTGTGGATCTGATAAAACAAATGTTGCCCAGGAGACTATGCACCCTGCTTCCCTAGTAATAACGGCAACTCTATTAATGGTTCAGAAATCCTGTTTCTTGTTTTTGCTTTTGTTTTTGAATTGGAGTCTCACTCTGTCACCCAGGCTGAGTACAGTGGTACACTCACAGCCACCTGCTGGGCTCAGATGATCCTTCTACCTCAGCCTTCCAAGTAGCTGGAACTACAGGCATGCACCACCACACCCATCTAATTTTTTGATTTATTGTAGAGTCGAGGTCTCACCAAGTTGCCCAGGCTGGTCTTGGACCCACAGGCTCAGGCAGTCCTCTCATCTATGCCTCCCAAAGTGCTGGGATTATAGGTGTGAGCTACCACGGCACCCGGCCACAGCAATAGTGTTTCTTAACAAGGTAAAACACTTCCTCTATTAAACAGGTATGAAGCCTGCTCTCAACATGTACTCTGCAGGGCTCAGAGGCAGGTAAACACAGATGGTCCTACCACCAAGTACTCGGGTAACTAGATCTAGTCAACACAAACTTAAACTCAAGCTTCTGGGTGAAAAACAGGGGTTCCTGAGGCCAAGTCGGGGGGAAATGTGGACATCTACCCTCACTACTCCCACCCTGGCCAGTCCCCTTTACTCTAGATTCTGGAAAGAGTTCACACCAAAACCCAGAATTCACAAGAATAACTAATTATAAGCACTCAGTTACCCCCCTCCTTTTTAAAAGCATCTAGGGAACAATATTTTTTAAATGAATTATAGTTTCACCAATCTCAACCCAACTGAGAAAAAGAACAAGACATTTTCTAGAATTGCAAGGGGCCCCATATGAATGATCTGATGGCCATCAGTACGACTCTGACTTCCAGCAATGTATATGTATACTTTTATACAATTACAAGCTGCAACTGGTTAACATTTAGAGACAGATCTTAAGCTGCCATAAGGGACTGTATGGTAAAAGGGTTGGAACACCCACATTCAAGGCCATAACCACCAGGTGTCAGGGTGGGGAGGGACCATGGAGACAGTCCACCCACTTCCAGGATCCTTACTGCAAAGGCGAAGAAATGAGAGTGCACCAGGTTACAGCATCATCTGTGATTTAGCCACAGGTTTTAGTTCATTGCCTCTAATCCTCATGATAAACCTGAAGAATTAATATATCAGTCCCCTGATTATATATATATGAAGACTTAGGCTGAGCGACATTACATACCTTAACACAAGGTCTCACAGCTAACGTCGACAAGAACCAAAACTGAAATTGGGTTTCCCGACTCGAATCCACTGCTTTTTCTACAACCCTTCAAATTATTTAGAAGTCATCATTTAATCTATTTGTGCTAACAGTTAAAGAAAGAAACACCCAAAGAAACTAACATTTTAGAAGGAAGCGGGATTCAAAAGCACAATCTTATTGTTGTAATTTTGTTTAGAAATAGTTGTGGGTAATAATTTGGTGGGTCCTTCCCAACAAAAAAATTTTTAAGGGTTTTTTAAAAAGAAAATCTATCTTGTGGAAGCTCAGACCTGGAAGTGCAAGCTTACTTGAACGCACACTTGCCTTTCTTTAGTAGGACTGTCTTTCCTTAGTAAGGTGGCCGTCACAGCACTCATCCTAAGGACGGTGGTTACATACGAACCAATGTTAGCTATGCTTAGGTTCTGAAACAAAGCCCAACTTACTAAATGGGTGATTAGCTTCAGTGCCCAACCTGTGCTTGACTCTAATTTCCGAGGCTTATTAGCGGCAGAATACCTTCCCTGAGGCGTATTCCCCACAGAAAACACAGACAGGTTTTTCCAGTTACATCACCAAGACAACTCCAACAAAAACTGTGCCACCATCATCCTTCTCACTGCCAGTCTCCACAGCCTGCTATGCATACGGGCTGGCCGGCCTTCCATTAATGAAATCCATAACCTGAAAGTGGGGCATTGACAAAGGCAAATAAACCTGGTCCCTCTGCCCATTTCTAGTTCAAATGCTTCCTCACCCCTCCAAGGTTAGATGCCAGAAACGTATTCTACTGTGTTTCTCACCAGCCATGATTCCAATTATTGTTGCCCCTCAGTATACACTAGAGATTGGTTCTAACCAAATCCAGGAAGTCCCACAGCCAGCTGCGGAACTCCCATAGAGGAAAGGTTGGGTCTCTGAATGCGCTGCATTTGGTTGAAAAGGAGCTGTTGCGTGCATGGAACCTTGCAACTCAAACCCGTGTGGCTCAAGGGGCAACTGTACCAACCTCTCTATTTAAACTTGGGCAAAGCAGGAAAGGTAAATAGACGCCAGAGAAACAAGAACGGCAATGCTTCCCCTTCGCCTTCCCTGGCAACAAAAGCGAATGGGGATAGGAGTTCTGAGAGATTTCAAAGAGCCACCCCCCCAATCCCCCAATCCCCGCCATCCCAGGGGAACTACCATTAGCAATATTCTGTGGTTTTCCACTAATTCATCTATCATCTGACCAAACTGTCTAAATTTCTAAGATTCCACATTAGCTTGGGAATTGGGAGCTACAAGTAAAGAAGGAATGGTTTGCTAGAACTAGAGTGATCTTTCTAATCACATCTACATACACATTTTGATACATGCTGTATGGCAGGCCAATGGCAACCGCCTGGGGAACCAAGGGTGCACTTTCCTTGAGGCTAAGATGACAAGGTACATAACTGCCAACCAAGACTCCTACTCAGGCTATTCTGTCATCACATTACTTACTAAAGGAGTTGAGGAACTACTATGACCCCAGCCCCAAACTATGTGAAAAGTTCTGGTTATTTAAATCTACGACTTAGAAATCAAGATTCTGAGGCAGGGCACAATGGCTCACACCTGTAATCTCAGCAGCTTGAGAGGCTAAGGCAGGAGAATTGCTTGAGGCCAGGACTTCAAGACCAACCTGGGCAACATAGTAAGACTCTGTCTCTACAAAAAAAATTACTTAAAAAACACCCCTCCCCTCAAAACAAACAAAAAAGAAATCAAAATTCTGATGAATTACAAGAAAGCAAATATCTCTAGTCAGAAATTTTAGCTTCAGGAACAATTATGCCAGTTTTTCCTCAACTTGGGAGCAGAGATACAGAAGCCTTCCAACAACCCAACATGTCTGAAGAGAGAGCAGAGACAGGAATACTTTCCATCTCATTTTTTATATTTTATTTTATTTTTTTGAGTTGGAGTCTCACTCTGTCGCCCAGACTGGAGTGCAGTGGCCGCTCCCGGCCACCGCAGCCTCGACCTGCCGGGCTCCGGCGATCCTTCCGCCTCAGCCTTCCGAGTAGCCGGAATTACAGGCGCGCGCTACCACGCCCGGCTGATTTTTTGATTTATTGTAGAGATGAGGTCTCGCTCCCCAGGTGGGTCTCGAACCCGCGGGCTCAGGCAATCCACTCACCTCAGCCTCCCAAAGGCACGGGATTACAGGCTGAGCCACCGAGCCCGACTTCCATCTCATTTTTATGTCAATCTTTTGACAAAACGATTTACACTGAAGCCAGCCCTGCACTGGGGCAGAAACCCATCAGGTGTCATTAACGAGTAACAGAACGGGCAGTCAGTGGCATAAACCTTCCAGGGGGCATGTGCAGCAGGTGTGTGAGGGAGGAAGGTGATGGAATTCACACTTCAGTCATGCTGCCCAGAGGTGCCCATGCTAGGCCCGCCTCAAAGAAGTTAGCATAAAGATGACTGTACTTATTAGAATCTGGTCATGATTTTTCGACCGTTTTTTATCCCAAAATACGTTTACTGTTCGTGTGTTCATGGTCCCTACATCTCTGTGCCAGCTGCTTGTGAAGACAGATGGACCAAAACAGACAAGATGAGGTGTCATTTCACCAATAACTAACCAGGAGGTAATTCCCGCCTGCAATTTCAAGTGGCCACGGGAGGGAGGGAGGTGAAGAGAGTGTGATGCTGAAGAGACCACCGGGCTCTGATGTCAGCCAGGTCTGTGTTGGAGTCCTGGCTCTGGCACTTGCCTGCGACCTTGGGCAAGCTGCTTACCCTCAGATGCCTTTGGAAAAATGGGGAGACAAACACCCTCTGTCCATCTCCAGGAGCTTTGGGAAGATTATACAAAGCTCTGCATGCAAATGACTCCGCAGAATGCCAAGCGCAAAAGCAGCTCTCAACCACTGCGAGATTCCACGCACGGATGTGGTGATACTGCACACGATCACGTACTGTTTTCCCAGCATCAGATACTTTAAGCCAAAAGGTGAGGGGGCGGCACCTTCCAGGAAAGAATTTCAAACTTTTTAAAAGCGCTTCCAAGAGGCTGTGCCAGTCGGAAGGGACGGGTAATTGCTGCAAGGCCGCTGCCCCATGTCCGCTTCGACCTTCCAAACCACATTTACCTTGTGGACTGTCCCCTAGCCCAGACACCAGCTGCATGTGCTTCCCCTGGAACACAGAGAGGTTTTTGTCTGGAAGCAACATGTGGTATCAATTTATCTTTCTCAGCAAGGAGAATCTACTCACTTTAAAAATAAAAAGGGAGTTGTGTAATTTAACTCTTAAAAGTCCCCTTTTAAAAAAAGTTTAAGATAAATCCCTCCTCTTTGACTGTCTAAAGAGCAGCAAAGTGACTCACAGTTGTTGACTCTGAAGTCAGGCCTGCCACTTCCCACCAGGCAGACTGCAGGCATCTCCTGGTCCTTAGAAGAGACTTTAGGGGGTCGCGGGGAACACCGCAAGGGACCGTCTTTAAGGACAATGCTCACCCACCTAGCGTACAGGGCCAGTATTTCAAGTAGGTCTCACTGTTTGACTTGTGGATGCTGACGACTCAGGATGACGTTGCCAAATACCTGAAATCTAACATATGCATTTGCAGAACTGCAGATGACAAAGGTTGTGCGAACAGCCAAATGGAAACTACGAGTCACAGGGAAACCCAGAGGTGTGTGTGCCACAGCACAGCAATGTAAAGAGACAGTTTCAGGTGAGGGCCTTTGGTTTACAATGACGGGCTCTTTCAAAGGCAGTTCCCAGTTGAGTGCGGTGGCACATGCCTAGAATCCCAGCACTTCAGGAGGCCAAGGCGAGAGGACCACTTGAGCCAGGAGTTTGAGACCAGCCTGGGCAACATAGTAAGACTTTGTCTCTACAAAAAATTTTAAAAATTGGCTGGGTGTGGTGACTCATGCTTGTAACCCCAGAACTTTGGGAGGCTGAGGCGGAAGAATCAATCACTCGAGCCCAGGAGGACGAGGCTATAGTAAGCCATTACCATGCTACTGCACTTCAGCCTGGGCCACAGAGTGAGACTCCAACTCAAAAAAAAGGGCAGTTCTCTGGACGAAGCCCTTGATTTTTCTTCAGTAGTAGTTCTTCATCTTGGCTGCCCATTAGAACCACCTGGGGTGACTTTAAACAAACCCCACCCCCAGAGATTCTGATATAATTGGTATGGGTATGGCCTAGGCATAGGTACATTTTTAAAGCTCCCCAAATTATTCTAATATAGCAATTAGGGGCAAGAGCCACTGGAATCTCCCCCTTACATTTCCACTAACTGAGAATCTGACTCCAGATCAGAAAATGCTTCCTGGTCTTCCCAGGTCTTGTAACAGAGCATAGCGATGTCCTTTAAGGCCAAGATTCCACTATGCAGAAGATAAGGGTGAGAAAAGGGGTCAGAGGTTAAAGCTGAATTTACGTATGCAGAAGAAAATGGAGAGTTAGGGCAAATTTTCAGATAATCGAGGTCCAGATCTGCTTTATCTTAAAAAATGATGAGGTGGGGGAGGGATCCCTGACTAAGGTCAGTGCCCTGTGACGTCTGTCTACCCAGCATGCATAGGACATGTTGTTTGAAACCAACAATGGATAGTATGAGCATATAAAACAGCTATGAAACCAGAAAGTTATTATTTCATATGCAGTGCCAGCTATAATGGCCAAAAACAAACCTTCTGGATTGAAAAAAAATGTAAATAAACTTTCATGTAAAGATTGCACAATCGAGCCTGCTGTGTAAGACAAGTTCCAGGCTAGCTCCACTCTGACTCTTGTAAGATGATGTTCTAAGATAAATATTGTTGGGAACTTGGCTGAAGGAGTCAGTTTCCAGCCAGAAACGAGATTTCCCGTTAAATTTGCTGACAATAATCCTCTACTCCCAGAGATCTCCTTTGGAAACTGACATTTGTTTTAAGTTTCCATGCAAGAATCAAGCGGCAGATTCGGGTCTTTCATTAGGAAGAATAAAGTAATCATCTCCTAGTGATCAGAATAACGAATCTATTTTCTATCCACACACATGAGGCTAGCTGGACAATGTATCCTGCTCCCAACTAAGAAAGAAATCCTGAATGGGATGAAAGTTCTCTTAAATAGCATAAGAAAGATGGCTGTCACTATACTGCACACAGTTTTGCTGGATTTTCTAGGGTGGATTTTCTTTTCATATTAACTTTTTAATTTTTTTCACTTAGAACTCTTCTGTCCAAGCTCTTCCACAGCTGTTTCTGCTCTTGGAGGGCAAGAGGGAACATTCCATTCCTCACAGCCAAACCTGCACTTCCGGCACACAGAGAACCCTGGCAGTTCTGCAGCTTCTGCCCACACCCACTCCCGACAGCACCCTGCGCCTCCCCACAAACTCTCCCACTTCCAGCCCTATGTGTTTCTCCCCCTGGACTGAGGAAGAGGCAGCTAAGAGCACGTAGTCAACAAAAGGACAGTCCCCAGAAAGTAGGTTGACATTGCAGCATTTGGCTGTCTCTGCTTTCTTTGTTCAAGCTTCTCCCCTGGTGCTACTCTGTTTCCCCTTCCCACAAGGGATTCTGCAAACACAGGCTACTACAAGTCTCTTTTAAGACAACATACCAAGCTGGGCACAGTGGCTCATGCCTATAATCCCAGCACTTGGGAGGTAGAGGTGAGAGGATTGCCTGGGTCCATGGGTTTGAGACCAGGCCGGGCAACATGGTAAGACTTCGTCTCTACAATAAGTAAAAGAATTAGCTGGGCGTGGTGGTGCAAGCCTGTGGTTCCAGCTACCTGGAAGGCTGAGGTGGAAGGATCTCCTGAGCCCAGCAGATCAAGGCTGCGGTGGCTGTGAGTGTGCCACTGCACTCCAGCCTGAGCAACAGAGTGAGACTAGGACTCAAAAAGCAAAACAAAACAAAACAAAAAAACCACGCACTGATTAGCCATACAAAGTGGATGCCTCAAAAGGTTAAGAGCCGTGAGGTTATAACAGCCATGAAGTCATGATACAGAACAGAAATAGTTTTATTATGAACATAATCTTCACAAGAATAAAAGAGAATAAGGCTGCACATTTTTCCCCTTTGAAAATTTCCTGTGTATGGAAACAGAGAGAATAAAAGGGCATTAGAAATACACATCTAGAAAGCAGGAGCACAACAGAACATTTAGGATCACTTTCCCGACATTTGACAAGTGATCAGAGCAAGAAGATTTGTAAAAATAATAATACCAGGGAGCAGGGAGAGGACTGGGAAGCCCTTATGCTATGAAACAAGTAGCCCTAACTTCATCATGACAGACACTGTGGCCCAAAGAGGTACAGGGTCATATCTGAATCCAATCAGCTCATAACTGGTAACAGGGCTGAAACAAACTCAGATCATCTGGTCTGGAGGTGTAGTGGCAAGACCACCCAGAAACAGAACATCAGTTGCACAGTCACACACAGCAAACAAGTAGGCTTAGGGGTCTCTGTCACAGGGATGGAAGGAAGGCAAGCCTAAAGTATGTGTACTACCTAACAGAGCAAGGCCTTGACTGAGGTACACCAGGGTGAAGAGCAGACTCCCTACCTGTCCTGGGATGCCATGGGGCCCCCCATTACTTGGTCATTCAGTTGGCTCAGGTTGCTCAGAGGCACACTCCAAACCACAGATAATACACCCTGGTGCTAACGCATCCAGCAAGCACCTCAGCGGCAAAGGAAATAGAAATAAAATCTACCTCGCTGGTAATCTGAGGAAATTCAGGACTTTGGTGCCCGCCCACCAGGGCCAGTGCTCTGTGCTTGACAAGCCTAATGCCACTTTATTTCCACAGCAAGGCTGTCAGGAGGAAACCGAGGTGCAGAAAGGATAAGCAACGTGTCTAGCAGGCAGAGGTGCTAGCAATCAAGCCTGAGGCTAGCCCCACAAGTGAAGCTTCCACTACCTCGTGTGTGCTTCCCTCGGAAGTCACCAAACTGCCCCAGGAGGGCCGCACCACTAACAGGTGACCAAGGAACAGGCAGTTTTCAAGATTGTAAAATCTATGTGGGTCGGGTTCGGTGGCTCAGCCTGTAATCCCAGCACTTTGGGAGGCCGAGGTGAGTGGACTGCCTGAGCCCACGGGTTCGAGACCCGCCTGGGTAACTTGATGAGATCTCATCTCTACAATAAATCAAAAATTAACCGGGCATGGTAGCGCGCACCTGTAGTTCCAGCTACTTGGAAGGCTGAGGCGGAAGGATCGCCGGAGCCCAGCTGGTTGAGGCTGCAGTGGCCAGGAATGGCCACTGCACTCCAGTCTAGGTGACAGAGTGAGACTCCAACTCAAAAAAAAATAAGTAAATAGAAAATAAAAATAAAATCTATATGACTGACACATGGTGCCCAGGATTATGAAAGAGACAGGAGAGATGGAAAAGTGACAAACCACGATGAAGCCTTGTTGGAACTAGATCTGCCTGGCTGCTTAAACTAACTTTTTAGAAATGACACCCCTTCCTCTCTTCCTTCCTTCCTTCCTTCCTTGCGTCCTTCCTTCCTCTCTCCTTCCCTCTCTCCCTCCCTCCCTTTCTTTCTTTCTTTTTTGCTCAGACATGCCCCAAAAGGGACACTATTGGCACGCTGATCTGGGATCACCACTTGGGGAAAGGCCCAAACATAATTACAGCTGTAAATTGAACTGTCACATATCCGGGCCTTTCTCCGTGGCATGTCTGGTGACTTCTGTGTTCAGGAAGAATTACCCTGTTATTGAGTCAAGCCAGTGCTACCTGGCTGTCCCCAGCAGGCCTATTTGGGCCTGAAACAGCTAGCAATGATGCTGTGGATCCTCAAGCCAGAGATATCGGGCACACGTCTGCACTGCCCTGGTCCTTGCTATTATGAGGCTTAATCTGAAACAGGGACTCGGCTCTATACTATTTAAAACATATAATTAGTTTATTATTAAGCCAGAAAAGATTAGCTTGCTTTAAAACTATGTGAATTCGAAAATATGAGGCCTTTTGCCTGCCAAGCGACAACATGAACAGGATGCTTCTGTTTAACCTCAAAAACTCTTGTAGAAAACTGCTTTGAGGTTATATATCCATGCCATCTTATTATCTGTCTTCTGGCATCAAAACCTGCAGAAACAGAAATCACTGACAATGCAAGCACATTAGAGGATGGATGTGGAGGTGCTG